GAGACTCTCAGCTGAGGGCATGAAAATGACATGGAGTGGCTAGTGAATCTATTTCTATGAAAATCCTCCTGGGTGCTGGCTGCCTCGCTGCCTCACTCAGCTGAAGTCTCTGCTCTTTCCAAGCCACTGTCTCTCCATGGTATTCTTCCTTTTATCCCTCAGGGTCTCAACACTGGCAGAATCTCTCATACTGCTGCTTGTGCCAGGATTATACTCTGGGCTTCACTTATACCTTATATACTTTGTTCTTTTTATGTTGTAGTATGTGTGTGTGTGTGTGTGTGTGTGTGTGTGTGTGTGTGTGTGTGTGTGTGTTTGAATAATCACTCTGAAAATTGTCCTAATTTAAGTGTACTGGAACTTGAAAGCTTATACTTTGTAACATCCATACAAAGCTGTGGTTGCATTCCTCTTTCATCTGTATTCATTCTAGTATTTTCTTAATCTATTTTACTTCTTAATTCAACTATTTTACTCCTTAATTCAACTATTCTGTTTTCCATATGCAATATTTGCCTTATTTTTTGGGTCTTACTGCTAATATTTTCTTATATCCACAGGAGGTTAGTGTGATTGTCTGTGAAGTCTGTCTCCCCCAGTGTGTACATACTGCTGCATTTTTCACTGGGCTGTCATATTGACCAGGTGGGTAGTAACTCTGGCTGTGTGCACATGTCCTACTGAGGTGGCAGTTTTTTTGTTACTTGGTCTAATAGTATGTTGTGGAAAGCTGACTTTCTGAGGTGTTAAAGAATAGGGAAAGCCAGGTGCTGATGGCTCAGCCTACATCCTAGCTACTCAGGAGGTTGAGACCTGAGGATCCTAGTTAGAAGCCAGCCAAGACAAGAAAGTCTGCAATATTCTTAGCTCTAATTAATCACCCCAAAACCAGAAGTAGAGCTGTGGCTCAAACTGGTAGAATGCTAGCCTTGAGCAGAAAAGCTCAGGGACAGCACCCAAGCCTGAGTTGAAGCCCCAGGAACAACAAAAAGAGGAGGAGGAGGAGGAGGAGGAGGAGGAGGAGGAGGAGGAGGAGGAGGAGGAGGAGGAGGAGGAGGAGGAGGAGGAGGAGGAGGAGAAGGAGGAGGAGGAGGAGGAGGAGGAGGAGGAGGAGGAGGAGGAAGAGGATGGAGAATGAGGAGGATGGAGGAGGAGGAGGAGGAGGATGGAGGAGGAGGAGGTGGAAGAGAAGAAAAGGAGGAGGAAGAAAAGAGTGTAAGGTATATTAAATAGGTAGGTTTCATTAGGTAGCTGATGAAGAGAATACCACATGCTATTCAGGCAGGAAAAGAAGTTTATGTACTGAATTGCTGCCCCCACCATGCATGGTGGAGAGGCATGACTGAAAAGGAAAGGGGGGTGGGGGAACTCACTCCTGGTCCAGGACTTATCTAGGCCAGAGACAGGAAGAGGTATGGCCAGGTGGGGGAAAGGTGTGGCCACACTGGATCTGGATGTGGCCTCAGGGTCTAGGACCCTCCTAAGGTCAAATGGGAGGCATGTGGTCAGAGATGGCCCAGGATGTGACCTAGCAGAAGGGGAAGGTGACTGCTTCCAGGTCTGCCAGTTACCTAGGTAACAAATACTGGGCAGAAAATTAGCCAAGAGGAAGGGCCATGTCCATGGGCAGACCTTATGAGGAAGAGAAGGGGGGAGGAGGAGGAGGAAAAAGGCTGGCCAGGCACGTCTCTCACCTGAATCCTATCCTCCTTTCCACAACTCCAATTCCAGTGCTTCAAATTTGAGCTTCCCTAGCATATGTAAGTCCCTAGGTTCCATCCCTAGCAACACACACACACACACACACACACACACACACACACACACATACACACACACAACCTTGGTGAGAAAAGCCTACCTCCCAGGGGCCACCTATGTCCTGTGGTTTGTAGAAGGGTTGTGGACACACAGTCACAGGTGGTTGGTAATAACCTCACAGTCTCTCACTCTGCAATCCTGACAGAGCCTTGATTCCAAACAGCCAGCCAGAGCAGAGCATGCAAGCGGTCTACAGGCATTCTCCTCGCATGTGAGTGGTCTTCCACTGCCCATCCTCCTCGCTACATCCATCTGCAGCCACTGAAATACTATGCCCACAGCCTCTGAGTTCTGTCACTGTTTTGGTTTGAAAACCACTTTTTCTTCTTAACCTCTCCAGCCCATCAAGGCTTGATTTGAAGACCACATTTCTTTCCACCTCAATGGCTCATCCAGGCTTGGAGAGAGGAGGAAAAGAAGGAGGAGGAGAAAAAGAGGAAGAGGAGGTGAAGGAGAAGAAAAGGAGGAGGAAGAGGAGTGTAAGGTATATTAAATAGGTAGGTTTCATTGGTAGCTGATGAAGCTACCTAATGAATGTAGCACAGAGCAAGGCCTAGACCTGCTGATACTGAATTTAGACTCCAATCTGCTCCTTGGTTCTAGTCTCACTGGCCCTGCAGTTTTTCGCTCCTCTCAGACCTCAGTGCTGCTATTTGGAATCTTTCCTTATTGCTTACTAAAGTTAATCCTAGGCCACCATGAGGCCAGGCATGCAAGCCTCTCAGATGTCACCTCATAGGGGAAGTTAGTCAGAGTCTACAGCTTCTTGGAGTAGCCTGTATTGGGTGGGAAAAGAAGGGCTTCCAAGCTCTGTCAATCTAAGCGTACCCTCTGTTCACATACAGTATTTACATACAGTAAATGGAGGATACAAGTTATTTTGCCACACAAGGATTTGGGTACCTGATCCAGAAAAGGCAAGTGAACCTGGATAGTAATACTGAACCCTGAGGTATCTTCCAGGTAACAGGAGTGAAGTTGGACCTGCAATCCAGCAGGTCAGCAGAGCCCACATTCTCTGAGTAGGGGGGAGGCCCAAGGAAGTTAATAGGCAGCTTAAAACTAAAATGCTACTCTACAGGAAATAAGAAAATACTTTATCTAGCACCAGTGGCTCGTGCTTATATAGAATATTAACTACTCAGGAGGCTGAGTCCTGAAGCTTGCAGTTCAAGCTAGCCTGATCAGACAAATCTGTGAGACTTTTTCTAATTAACCAGCAAAAAGCTAGAAGTAGAGATGTGGCTTAAATAGTAGAGTGCCATCCCTGAAGTACCATCCTGAAAAAGATCCAGGCAAGAACACAAAGGCCTGAGTTCTACTAGCACATAGAACTAATTCGTACTAGCACGAAAAAAGTAGTTTATTTTGAGCTAAATATGAGTGACCAGGACCCAGGACCCTGGGATTAAGTTACCTTGAATGATATATTCTACTATGAAAGAGGTTCCATGAAATTTTATAGTCACAGAACAAAAGGAAGTCAATACATTTGCCAATTACATTGCTGGCGCCATCCAGTGAGTGGGCCATAGCAAGATGGAGAAACCTCTTTGATGGGTTTCAGATACTACAGGATCCCTACCCTTAGGGCTGGTACAGGCTAGAGTTTGAAAAGCTTAGTGATATATTGCTTTATCTAGTAGATACATTGCTTTATCAGGACAACGCTAGGTTAGATGCAGATTTGGCAGCAAATGGCTCTTGAGAGGAACAAAAGACACCCAACGTTACTGGATCATAATCTTCAGTATTCCATCTCTCCACAATCAGCCACAGTCAAGCAGTCAGGGGCACTTCACTATGGACATGGTTTCTTCAGTTCACACAGGTAGTCACCTAACTCCATGCTCTACACAGAGACATGCTTAATGCTGAACAAAGTGGAATTCCTTCTGTGAGAAAACCCCAGCCCAGCCATCTGAGGGAACCATGGCAGTGGGGAAAACAGGTAGCCAGTACCAAGGCCTGTCCATCAGCCTGCAGTGCTACTGAGAGGTGAGGGAGCCTTTAGAGGGTAAGGCCTGGGTAAGGGACATTAGGCCACTGGGGATGTGCCTTATAAGGAGGTACTAGAATCCCAGATCCTCCTCACTTAGCTTTCTGGCCACCACGAGCCGAACGTACCTATACCACACGTTCTACCATAATGTGTTGTGCTATTAAAGGACCCAGATGAAAAAAGAAGATGAAAACTGTGAAATAAACCTCTCTTCCTTATAACTTGATTATCTCCAATGTTTTGTTACAGAGATGCAGATCTGACATAGCTAGATATCTAAGTTGGGTATTAGACAAGATGACAGGCTCCACACAGGTCTTCCCATTAGCAGCAGAGGGCTTTGAACCCAGGGGAATCTTTTGATTATGCACATAAGGGCTTACCTCTATGCACCTAATGGTGAGGGTCTGAGCTAGGTGGGTGCTGAAAGAATTGGGAAGAATTTGTTCAGAATCCCTAGTGTGCTTAGTGCAACACAAGTCTACAATGACCTGGGACTGTTTCCTTATTAACAAATAGTTTAGGTTGCGAGGGATAGCTGAATGCTAGGCCAAAAAGTCCTTCATCTGCCAAACTTCTGCTCACACAGGGATTCAGAGCTGATGTTATGGAGGCAGAGAGGGGAGAGGAAGGTTCAGGATGCAGCAGATTGAGTGCTGACCTCTGAAACAGAGCTCTGAGGAATACTTTATGGTCCACACTCCAAATCTGAGGATTGTTCCAGGCCCTTCACAGTCTAGTTGTAACCCCTCTGTGACCAGAAGGCCTGGAAGGTACTACTTCACAGCTAACCTGGGCATGTTTCAGGAACCACGTGATAAGTCCCTAAGCTTGTCTTCTGGAAGCCTCCTTATGGACAAGAGTTGGGCCTCAGTCTACAGAGAGAGAACAACTCAGCTCCAAATCATACAGGGCAGCTCAAATACCCATCTGTCCCCTTAGCTATCCCTCCTCAGAAAGAAGAACAATCTTCCAACTCTGGAAAACTTAAAGCCCAACAGGGCATGAGAGATGGTACAGATGGGTAAAAAACAGAAGCCAGCAGCTGTTTCCATTGTTTATTTTGTCAGGTCTGGGAAGAGGCGGCCTCAGATGGACAAATGAGCCTAGATATAGAAACGTGGGGAGGCAGTGCTCAGCAATGTTTGTAGGAGAAGGCTGGACATCGGTGCTGTGGCTATCTTAGACTCCTGAGCAAAAGCGGTGCAGACAGCAGGACCAGGCAGATGCTTGGCTTGAGAGCCAAGCCATGAGAGCCATGGCCATGAGAGCCATGGCTATGAGAGCCAGCCAGAGCTGGGCCGTCATCCTTGGGAGGGATGATGCCAGGCTCAGGCTCACCCGAAGCCTGTTTGTTCTTTTCAATCCAGTCGAAGAAGTAGGAAACTCTGGTGAAGACGCTAGGACTGTCCATTGGATGATAACATGCCACACTCCAGCTGGACAGCCCCACCAGATACCAGGAGCCATCCTTATAGGGGCAGACGAGGGGACCCCCAGAATCTCCCTGAAAAGAAAGAAGACATGGATTGTGGGGTCAAGACAGATCCTTATCCAGGACAGAAAGAACAAGGTGGGTTCCAGGGAGTCTCTGATGTCTAAGAATCATCTGAGCAATTTAAGAAGTCCAGGCATGGTGGAGTTTCCCAGGGCCCACTCCATAATGCTCCTGAGGCAACCCTGGAGAGTATGCTAGGTGCAGTCACAGAGCTGCAGAGTGCACAGGGGCCTTAGGAACTGAACATAGGCCTTCTGTCCTCCCATCCACATGGGAGAAGATGCTGTGCAGATCCCATGCAGGCATGTAAGTGGCCAGCTTGGAGACCCAGCTTTGTGATCTTTGGTCATATTCTTGGCCCATCATACTTTTTGTTTTACTTAAGTCCTCCATCCCTTAGTGGGGCTCTTTTAGTAAACAACAAACTGTTAGCTGTACTGTGCAGCAAACAGTGCTGCCTATGACTGGTCTGGTGAGGAGCTGGAACCAAAAGAGAGCTCCACAGAGGAGTGGACTACAAGTGGCAGGCATTGGAGATGGATGAATCCTTGGAGACATGGATTAAATGTGTCTATCTTCTGTATCCAGAAGAAGAGAAAAGAGAGTCAGACACACAAAAAGACTTCTAACAGCAGCTGATGAAGCGTGTGCACAAACTCCAGCTAAAGTGAGCTGAAGTGATGAGGAGAGCAAGCAAGGGCATTCCAGTGGCAAGGCCAGATAGAAAGTAGTTGCTGAGAATCGGGAGAGGGTTGTGGGGAACAGAGAATATGTACACAAGTGTTGTTGTTGTTGTTGTCTTATCAGTCATGGGCCTGGGTGCTGTCCCTGAGCGCTGCAGCTCAAGGCTAGCGCTCTACCACTTGAGCCATAGCGCCACTTCCAGTTTTCTGGTGGTTTTTTTAATTGGAGATAAGAGTCTCACAGACTTTCCTGCCTGGGCTGGTTTTGAACCATGATCCTTAGATCTCAGCCTCCTGACTAGCTAGGATTACAGGTGTGAGCCACCGGTGCCCAGCTTACACAAGTGTTTTATGACAGAGATTAACATGGTTTGTTTCAAAGCTGTGAGGACAACCAAGGAGAAAGGAAAAGCAAGTGAGAAGATGCAAAAGAGAAAGGAGAAAACATGAGGATGTTTGGGAGGGGTCCAGAGCTTTTAAGATAGTCAGAGCCTCTCCAAACTTCACTATGGCCAGATTCTTTCATCTTGGGATGTCTATTTTTTTTGCTGGGTTTCAGTTTTCCATCATGAAATGCAAAGCTTTCACAGAATCGACATTCTTAGGGGCTGGGAAGGTGGCTCAGTGGTAGAGTGCTTGCCTTGCATGCATGAGACCCTTGGTTCGATTCCTCAGCACCACATAAGCAGAAAAAGCTGGAAGTGGGGGTTAGGCTCAAGTGGTAGAGCCCTGGTCTACAGCTGAAGAGCTGGGGAACAGCGCCCAGGCCCAGAGTTCAGGCCCCACAACCAACACACACACACACACACACACACACAAAACAGAATCAACATTCTTAATATATATGCCCAATGATGGATTCATATACGTAAGCTATAAAAAGCTTCTGTGATTCAATATATGACAACTCCATACTCAGAAAACAAAACAACCCTTGCACACACACACAAAAAGGCAATATACATCTGAAAAAAGTTTGTCTCTATTAGTCACCAGTGAAATGCAAATTAAAAATCACACACATAAAATGAAAATGAGAGATAACCAAAATTACTATTGTCAATGTAGAACAATCTGAATTCTCATTCACTGCTGATGGGAATGCACATTGATACAAGCAGGCTGCTGGAATGCTGTTTGGACAATCTTCAAGAAATGAACAAGTGCATTCTTCATGACATGACAATTCTACCATCACAGACATCTTCAACCAGAAACTCAATGCATGTGCACTAAGCAAACATGTCAGGATGTTCACATTAATGCCCTCTGTGAAGATCTCAAGAGGAAACTCCAAAATGCCACCCACATAAGAACAGAGAAGTCAGCTGGGCATTGTGACTCAGGCCAGCAGCTCTAGCTACTCATGATATGGAGACCTAAGAATCATTGTTCAAAGCTAACATGGGCAAAAATGTCCATGAGACTCTTGTCTCCAATTCACCAGCAAAAAGCCAGAAGTAGAGGTGTGGCTCAAGTGGTAGAGCATCAGTCCTGAGCAAAAAAGCCAAAAGAAAACTAAAAGATAAGGACCTGGGCTCCAAGTGGGAAGAGACCTTCACTAAAAAGAATCCACAAAATAAAATATAGGGCTGGTATAGGTATTGTTCGAGTGGTAGAGCACCAGCCTAGCAAGCCCGAAGCCCTGAGTTCAAACAAGGGCTTCCGCCAAATGGTTGGAAAAGTAGAAAGCCAGAGAGGAAGGACATGGTCACCCCAAGGTGAGTCTCATAAACTTTGCCATCCAGGTTGGTTGTCAACCTCCCATTTTCAGCTTTGGAAGTGCAGGTATGAGGGCACTCAGCTTGGCCACAGTTCTTAAAGATCAGTGAAACTGGATGGAGCTGTGCTCTTTAGGGCCTCTGTCATCTCAGGCCAGGTCAGGCTCAAGAAGAAGATGGGGCTTGCACATGGCCCCGAGAAGACAGAGGGTAAAGGCCCAGGGCCAGAACGGGAAATCACATTTGGCTGGAGAGCCTAAGCCAGCCGCACTTACTCGGCAGATGGATACTCCTTGCCTAAAGTTCCCAGCACACACCATGTCATCCTTCACAGCATAATGCCCAGTGCTGTTGGGGTCAGGAGGCTGGAAAAAGACTGCGCAGTAACGGTTGTCCAGGAGGATCACCTCAGCCTCCTGCAGCTGTCTTGGCTCAGGCAGGAATGCTGTGGGAGGAATGAACAGGTCAGGTGCAGCCTATGCACTGAGAGAGAGTGCATACTCACTGAGGAAGGGCACCTGCTCACTGAGAGAGAGAACCTACTGACTGAGGGAGGGCATCTACTAACTGAGGGAGCATACCTACTCACTCAGGAGATACACCTACTGAAGGAGAACACCTACTCACTGAGAGAGAACACCTATTCACTGAGGGAGGGCACCTACTCTAGATGGAGGGGCAAGGAAGATGTGCTGATAGGTGTAGGAAGGGCATTAAGAGCCAGTATAAGTGGTCTGAAGTGAATGAGAACAGGCGGGAGGTCTGTGTGGCTGGAAGGGTGGAAGAGTTGGCATAAATGTGGTAGAGCTGCCCTGCCAGACTTGGACTTGAGATTTGATCCTAAGCATGCCATGACAGACAGAAGGTTGTGCTTACCTTCCTAACAGCTCCTCTGGCCACTCTGTGGAGCCCAGGGAGTGTGGAGGCAGGGAGATTGGAAGCTGGAAGTTGGGAACCTTGGGGAGGGGAACTTAGTAATATGCACAAGGCTGAGTCTGTTCCAAGGGTCTGCTGGGCCTGCAGCCTTGCTTTTTGTGCTTCCTGTGGAGCTCAGTGGTGGCGGCATGCCTCCTTCAGTAAAGTGCTCAGGTGCTCAGAGGCTGCCCGAGTGTGGCAGACCCAGGGCCTGGATACCAGCCCCATGCCACAGCAAGGCCGCTAGTCTGCTCTGACCTGTCTTGGAGATCCCCAGGCCCTGCCACTGATTCCTAACATCTTAGAAAGGTATCTTTGTGGTGTCAGTGACACTTTAGTGGCCAGGAGCAGGAATGGTGGCTCTAACACAAACCTCAAAGAAAGTCTGGTCCCAAATGTCTCTGTGGAACATCTCTGCGAGATTACTGCTCTACAAACCATGCCAAATTGAAATTCCATTCATTTTTACTCACCATTTTGACCTACTGTCATCTGGGCTGGGTGTAGTGGCTCAGCACTTTTAATCTAATCACTTAGGAGGAAGAGATCATGAGGATCTCAATTTGAAAATAGCTAAGGCAAAACAAAAAACAAAAAATAATCCCCCAAAGTAGCTATTTCCTATCTAAATTAACAAGCCAGGAATGGTGACTCACACTTGTAATTCTAGCTATGTAAGATGGATCATGGTTTAAGGTTAACTGAAAGGGGAGAGGGGGAGGTGGAGAAACAAAGAAAAAAAGAAAGAAAATAACTAAAAAGGAAAAACAAAAACATACTTTAAACTATATACTTTAAATTATCATTAAATGATTTAGAGTATTTGACACCAGGTCAATACTATATGAACAGTCATTATATTCTATCATTTAGGGAATAATGACAAGATTAAAGTTTGTATACTCCCCTCATCATGAATATTTGGCCCACTGCTAGTAGAACACATGGATTGTTCTGTTTTCTTTTTGTACTGGTACTGAAGCTTGAACTAAGGGCAATCAATGTCCCTTAGTTTTTCCACACAAAGCTAGTACTCTATCACTTAAACCATAACTCTACTTCCAGCTTTTTGGTAGTTAATTGGAGATAAGAGTCTCACAAACTTTCCTGCCAGAGCTGACATTGAAGTGTGATCCTCAGATCTCAGCCTCCTGAGTAGCTTGGATTACAGGCGTGTGTCAACAACACCTGGCTCAAATCTATGGATCTGGGTTGCATCAGTACATGAGATCATCAACTAACTGTACAAGCTAGCAGAACAGGCCAGTCTCACCTGTGCTAGGGTTCACAGAGACACTCATTTCCTGTGGGTTCCTAGTATCTTCTATGGCCATGGAGAGCAAGCCGTGTTGGATGAGGCCTTCCAGGAGTGAGAGCCCTCAGAACCTCAGTCAGGGAGTATCAATCATATGCAGAGCTCCCAGAATCCTTGAATGGCTTAAAGTTAAAGAGTCCAAATTTCCAATTAGAAAATGAGAGATGGGGGCTGGGAATGTGGCTTAGCAGTAGAATGCCTGCCCAGCATAAATGAAGCCCTGAGTTCGATTCCTCAGTACACACAAACAGAAAAAGCCAGAAGTGGTGCTGTGGCTCAAGTGATAGCCACTTGAACAAAAGAAGCTCAGGGACAGTGCCCAAGTCCTGAGTTCAAGCCTCAGGACTTGGAAAGAAAGGAAGGAAGGAGGAAGGAAGAAGGAAGGAAGGAAAGAAGGAAGGAAAGAAGGAAGGAAGGAAGAAGAGAGAGAGAAAGAGAGTAAGAGATGGGGGGACATCGGAAGGGGTGACACTGACCAAGATGCATTATACTAATAAATTGATACATTGAATAAAATCCCCTTTGCATGACTAGTTTAATAGTAATATTAATAACAATGAAAACCAAGAAGAAAGAGTCCTGTGAACCATGGACTGTGGGAACTACAAAGCTTTGGAAGGACTGGGAACAGCCTCTGCCCTGTCCATCCCTGCCTGCGCGGTGTACTTACTATCTTCAGTGATCATGCCCCAGCCACTTATCCAGCAGGGCCTATCTTGGAGCAGCTGCGTGGCATTGCTTGGGACGCAGGCTGGGAAGACGTGGGAGTTGAACTCCACAGGCGTATGCATCTGCATCAGGACAATGTCACTCCCCTGCCGGTGGAACTTGTCATAATCTGGGTGGACAATGAGCTTATACACTGTCTTCTTCAAGCTGTAGTTGGTGGGATTGCTTAGCTGGTTGTAACCTAGCAGGATCCGGTAGTCAGATGGCCTTTGGGACCTGTTTGGGGAGGTCTGTTTTGAGTGTCAGGCTGACTCCCTGACTGCCCAGCAACCAGACCCCTCCCCATCATATCAGAGTTCCTCCTCCCCTAGTATCATGACATTCTCTTGAGGTGAGTTGGATTGCTGTCTACAGCCTCAGGGCATTTCTCCTTTGAGGACTTCTGATGGATTTTCTAGCATACCCAGAATCCAAGGATGAGAGAGTCTTATTGCTAGACAGGAATATTTGAGGGTACGTCAAACTGAACCCATTTATCTAGTCCTGATGAGGCTCCTTTTAAGGGGCAATTGTCCAAGACCCCCTTTCTGTCTCACCAATTTCAACAAGAGCTGCCCTCTGTCTAAACACATGTTCTCAGCAAGTACTTTCAGGGTATGGAAAAGTCCACGGAACGTTCCTATTTCCCGCACAAGAGTGGCTTGCACACCACATGTTCTTCTCATGCGTTCATCCTACCTAGACCCCTCAAGACCTGACTCTGCTTTCCTAAGGTCCACCCACTTTGTCTTTGCTCCGGATAGACCTGGTGCACCTCTCTTGACACACCTTCAATGCTGATCACTGGAGCTGTATCTACGCCTCACTCTCCTGGTGGGATGAGAAGCTTCCAGATGGGTCTTGTACTTTCCTCACAGGCAGTGTGCATAGGGTCTGGTGCTCATGGATGCTGAATATGAATGGAGCCTGTGCAGTATGCATGTCCAAGGACAGGACAGAGTCAAGAGCTAACCAGCCTGTGGACATCTCCTGGGACTGTCACCAAAGGTCCCCTGAGTGCAACAGCCTTTTGATTGGTAATGTTCATGGGAGATTAAAAAAAAAAACAATTGGAGGTGGTACCTTTTTGGAATTAAAGCTTGTTTGCAGTATTTGCACATCACTATCACAAGCATACTATCATGGAGGGCAGGGTGTCTCTGGGGTGAGAGATGAAATGTGAGGTGACAGGACATGGACAGGAGTCAGGTGATAAGCAGAGATGGTACTCCAGGTAGAAGGTCACATTGATTCAAAATCATGAGGATTCCTATGGGGGTAAACTGTCCTAGAACAACACCTGGAAGGAAAAGGCTGAGCACCCTTCATCCCGTCTCACCCCACCTTGTGCCTCTCTCCTGCAGCCCTTTCTAGCAGCTGGGCACTGGGCCCTGGGCCCTGGAAGACGCACCTCTGGAAGCAATGGGCTGCAGATGTTACCCAGTATCTGTCGATGAGGGCTGCACCACAGATGTGGCTGCCATGATACAACAAACTAGCCTGCCATGGCCACCGTTCCGAGGCTGCCTTCTGACCACCAAATATCTTTCCAGAAAATCGGCTCCTGCCACATACTGTGGAGACAAATCCAACTGTGAGGTACCTGCATTTAGGATTCCAACCCTCAGTGGCTCCAACTATCACCATCAATGGGACCAGAGGAGACCAGGGCCACACCACTCTCTTCCCAGGTGGAAATATAAACCCACCTCAGCCTGAGGCCATCTCCCAAGGAAACCTGCCCCAGAGAGCTGTAGTCTAGGCTGGGCCCATCTCTTCTTAAATCATATTTAATAAAATAAAGGGTGCAGCCCTGTTCAAGGGCTGACTACAGGATGTTAAGGCTCAGGATCTTATCTTTTATCAGCCCAAGGGCAAATCTTTTTTTTTAATTTTTAATTTTTATTGTGAAAATACTGTACAGAGGGGTTATAATTACATGGGCAAGATAATGAGTACATTCCTAATCAAGCATTGTAGCCTCCTCCTTTGTTTCCCCTTCCCATCCCTTCCCAGCCTGCCCCCCCCCCCCCCCAAAGTTGTAAAGTTCGTTTTCGACTTGACAACTTGTACTTCTCATTGTTGCAACGGGTCGCCCAGCCAAGGATGTGTGACCACCTAGCCAGGCGTGTGCAGTCCTGGGGCTTTGTGCTGAGAAGGCCAGCAGGAGCGAGGGAACCCTTCTTTAGCTACCATGGCACCCCACACCCAAGTCTGAAGGCCAGGACCCCCAACCACCTGCTTCCCAGGACGGCCAGGCTGGCAGACAAAAGGGCCACACCCTGGGCCAGCCCTGCCCTTGACCACTGACCTTCTGACGAGGATGACGAGGGCTGGGCCGGGTGGGCGGGTAGCGATTGAAGGCTCAGGCCGAGCAGCACCGCGAACAGCGCACAGGCCCCCGGCCCACTTAGGCCTGAGTGCTGCCCGCCAGCGCCCCCCATCGGGCCGGTCGGCAATGACGCGTCGACGGCTCGCGCGGCCAACTGCTACTGTAGTCTGTTCTCTGGCCATATCGCCCCTCAGAGGGGCTGGAGAGGAAAGGGAAGCCCACGCTCCCATCCCCAAGCCTGCAGCAGGCTGGCAGCAGAAGCAGGGGTCTCAGGGCCTCTCCCTCTGACCTCCAGTGACACAGGTTCTAAATGGCAAGGCACTCACATTCCAGAGTTCCTTTTTCCTTTTTTGGGTCCGGTCGTGGGGCCTGAGCTCTGGGCCTGGGCACTGTCCCTCAGCTCTTCAGCTCAAGGCTAGCGCTCTACCACTTGAGACACAGCGGTGCTGAAGAATCGAACCCAGGGCCTCATGCATGCAAGGCAAGCACTTTACCACTGAGCCACCTTCCCAGCCCCACATTCCAGAGTTTCTAAGAGTATCATCCGGTCATAGTATCCACTCCAAATGCAAATCTCTCCATCCAAACTAAAGGTGACTGTGTCCTCAGCTCAAGGCTCATCATCTGAACCATTGACATCAGCAGTAAGAAATCCACAGCAGAAATCCACTAAATACTGCTCTTGAGCATTGTTCTTCAGTGTAAATATCACAACTGTTTTGTTGTAAATATCTTCAGTGTAAATTCTTCAGTGTAAATATCACACATGCCATACATACATAATGTATCTCAGTCAAATTCACCTTTGAGGCGGGCGCTGGTGGCTCATGCCTGTAATCCTAGCTACTCAGGAGGCTGAGACCTAAGGATTGTAGTTCAAAGCCAGGCTAGGCAGGAAAGCCCTTCAGATTCTTATCTCCAGTTAACACCCAAAAGCCAGAAGTGGAAATGTGGATCAAGTGGTAGAATACTCTCCTCGAGCTGAAGAGCTGAGGGACAGCACCCAGGCCTGGAGTTCAAGCCCCATGACCGACAATAAGGAAAAAGAAAAAAATTCACCATCTCTATTACTCTTTCTTAACCCTACCTTTTTCATCATTAGTGGGTTTCATTATGCTTTTATCCTATATATGTATATACATGGGTATATGTATGTGTGTGTATATATATATATATATATATATATATATATATATATATATAATTCCAGTCATATACATTACTTATCATTCTCTCCTTTCTGGTCCTCCGTCCTACTGGTTCCCACAATCAAACAGCTCCTCTTTCAAAATTGTATCATCATCATCATCATCATCATTCTCATATCATTATTATTATTATTTCAGTCTAGATTCCACAAATGAGTGAACACAGTCTTTACCCTCTGAGATTGGCTTATCTCACTCAACATGATGATCTCTAGTTGCATTCATCTTACTAAAAGCAGCATGATTTCATTCTTTTTTTATGGTTAAATAATACTCTGTGTGTGTGTATGTATGTATGTATGTATGTATGTGTTTCCTCATCCATTCATCTTAGGCTAGGTCCATAACTTGACAACTGTTACTAGTACTGCTACAAACACAGGTGTCCAGGTATCTCTATTTCATGACTTTGATTCGTTTTGGCCAGGAGTGATATAGCTGGATTATATGGTAACTGGTTTGTTAGGGTTATTTTGGTTGTTGTGGATTTTCTTTTCTTTTTTTTCTTTCCAGTACTTTGGGATTGCTCAGAAGGTGTTCTACTATTTGAGCCATGCTTTCAGCTACATTTAGTTTTTTCATGAACTTTCATGTTGCTTTCCATAATGACTGTACTAATTTACAAGTGTTTCTTTTTCCCTACATCTGCACTACATTTGTTATGTGTTTTCTTGAAAATTGTCATTTTGACCGAGGTGAGATGAAATATCTGTGTTGTTTTGATGTTCATTTCCTTTATGATTAAGAATGTTGAACATTCTTTTTTTTTGGTTATTTGGAACCTGTTCTTTTAAAAACCATCTTTCCAAGAGGCCTCTTGTAGCCAATACACACTGGGTAGCATCCAAGTCAGACTTTGAATCCCCGATTAGTCTGGTACCTCCAGACGTAGATACAAAGAGCTCACACATGATGAAATCAAGATTTCTAAGGATAAATCCCTTTCCTTAAACAATAATCTCCTTTGCTTAAAGTAGTCATAGGAGGAAAAACTCATCATAGTCATGGACTCTCAAACTCTCAAGGGGAGGAATTATAAAAGGATGTAGGTTATTGAGGTCTCAACCTCAATAAAGTCAGTGTTGTTGAGAACAAAGAAAATTAATTTGTGTGTGTATGTGTTTTTGTGTTTTTTTTTGGCCTGTGCTGGAGCTTGAGCTCAGGGCCTCACACTCTGGCCATTTACAGCTACCATTCTACCACTTGAGCCACATCTCTACCCATGTCTTTTTGCAGGTTAATTGGAGATAAGAGTCTGACTACAGGCTGTCTGTGAACAATGATCCTCAGATACTAGCATCCTGAGTAGCTAGGATTATAGTGTGAGCCAGTGATACCTGGCTTAAACTTACTTTTGTTTTGTCTGTGAGACTGGAAAACTATGTTACGTCCAGGAGTAACAAAATCTATTAGAGAATAAAAAAGTCGATAAAATTGAGGTATGCTACTTGTATGACAGTCCCGTGGGCAGGCAGGCAGGCAGGCCAAGGCTGGGCTGGTGAGAGGCTAAGTGAAGCTAGTGTTCTCACCTGCAAACCGATCTGCTGGGAGGGTGAGTGCCAGGCCCAGCCCCAGCTGACAGGTGCTAAAATGTCCCAGTAACTACTCCTCCACCTACCACTGGGAACTCACCCAACCCTGCACTTCATTATTCTTCCATTTTCTTGTCTTGTCTTTTTGCTGGTCCTGGGGCTTGAACTCTGGGGCTGGATGCTCTCCCTGAGCTGCTTTTGCTCAAGGCTAGTGCTCTACCACTTGAGCCACAGCACCACATCTGGCTTTTCTGAGTAGTTTATTGGAGATAAGAGTCTCATGGATTTTCCTGCCTGGGCTGGTTTTGAATTGCCATGCTCAGATCCCAGCCTCCTCAGTGATTACAGGTATAAGCCACCAGGGCCACTTTCTTTCCCTTTTCTCTAGGAAAAAAGGTTCTCTGCATTTTACCATAAGGTGGCAGTAATAGGCTGTTTTGATATCACCTTGACCAGCTTGCATCCTTCCACCCAGGACTTAAAATTATGTCTCCATAACGTGTCACCCAACAGCCTCAGTTTACTTATGGTCTCCATATCTTCCCAACTGCCTACAAGTCTCAGGCTCCCTTGGGGATCCCTATTTTTCCTGGACCACTGTTTAATGAGAGCTTACCCTCTGAGAATCCCCTTCAGAGTGTGGGGACTTTGGAAAGACTTTTTCTTGTAGCTGTGTGACATAACTTCCTCATTCTCCCAAATGTTCTGCAAACTCCAAGACAGAGAATGTGTATGACGCTTGGTTGGTTCTAGGACCCATCAGGAAACAGCAAGTGGTGATGACCTGTCTAGCTGGACTGCTGTGTCCTGAAGCCTCTGTGAGCCCCTCCTCTTCTTCAGCTATAGCAAAAGGGATGGCAAAGAAGAAGTGATTCCCTTCCATTCTGGTGAGATGTTGGATAGACGGAGGCAGATAGAGAGCTTCACAGGTGGGGCCTCCCCATGGTTCTTGGGGGTAGTGTGACTGAAAGGCCTTCATGAGTATTAGCCTTTAGATGTGACAGTGTACACACTATCTTGTTATTTTGAATAAAGGGTACCCCCTCCAATTGTATGTCATCTGTTCTTTGGGGGTTGCTCCAGGGCACTCAGGTCATTGGTGCAGAACATAAAGGATCCTTCTCTCTTGTCTCTGTTATATTTTAAGAAGCCTTCAGAACCTGTCTTGATAGAGCAGGTTCTAGGTAGCAGCAGGTAAGCCTGGAGGACAGGGGCTATTCACTCCTGTTGGCATTGTCAGGCATTCTGGGTTCCCAGGATGGGTTAGATCAGCCAGAAATCAACATCTTTTCTCATGTTGAAAGCTGCTTTTCCATAACTAGTATATGTTAGAGACAAGCAGAAAAGGTCAGATAAGTTGATGTTAGGCGAAATGAACCCCAAGATAAGGATTGAAATGGTTTTTCTTTCTTGTGATTGTTTCTAACATATTTATAAGATGATTTCTTGGTTGCTTTGTTCCTCCCCCATGGTATAACCCCTGCTTTCACTGTATTTGAAGTTGGTATAATTTGTGGAGGGGAAGAGAAAAAACAAATCGTTTAAACAGTGATACAGGTGGACCCATTGCAACAATGAGATGTACGAGTTGTTATGTTGATAAACGAGCTTTACAACTTTGGTGGTGGGGGGGAAGGGGGTGGGAGATGGGAAGGGATGGGAAGGGGAAACAAAGGAGGAGGCAACAATGATTGATAAGAAATGTACTCAATACCTTGCCCATGTAATTGTAACCCCTCTGTATGGTATTTTCACAATTAAAAAAAAAAAAAGACAGCTGCTTTTCCAAGGCACAGTCATCTCCAAGGTGATTCCTATATGAGGCGAGCCTTGCATCAGCTAGAGGCCTCTGGGCCACTCTGATGTCTCCCTGGTCAGTTGAGCATGGTTTGCTTGCACACTCCAGGGCATGTAAAATAAGTACTGTGGAAGGCCACGCTGAATCTTGCACAGCTGACATGAATTCTGCTGATAGAGCAATTGACTGCCAAAGAAATATCACAGGTGCATTTCCAGAGAACAATTTAGCATCCTTATCCCTGTCCCTGTCCTGCTTAGATACTGGAAATGGTACCAAGACCCTTCAGGAAGCAGACAGCAAATAAGTGGTAGGCTGGTCAGAAAATGGAATGCTGTAGAGAATACTCATAGAATGAACTAGATATGCATATGTCAATAATAATAGCCTGAAAGGCAGGATATTGAATTTAAAATGCTAACAGCAGAATGAAGTGACAGTACAATACCAGACATAAATCAATGCTATATGTAGTTTGGAGATTATCAAAGTGAGAGCTCAACAATACTGATGGGAAGGGCATAGAGGTAATTCAGGACAGAAGCTGCCTCTGGGGAAGCAGAGAAGAGAATGGGCCAGATAGTTTTTTTTTTTTTAAAGCTAACTGTACAATAAATGTTTTGTTATATGAAACTATACAGGGC